ATGTAATAATTTACGTTAAAAAAAAACTTTCACCCTATTGTCGTAAAGTGGAATAAAGAATAAAAACGATAAAGCCAGTTTCTCTAATACTTTCTTAAACAGATATTCATTAATTCTTGATGAAAGTATGGACCTCCATGTTCTCTCTTTGTATCTCTGAGTTATGATGAGAGTTCGTGTCGGTGCCAGGCATCTACGGTAACAACGGGACAGGTGAATTTGGATTACGGTAACCATAGTGAGACAGAAGAAACCTTGTCAAGGTAAATTACACTTCCTGTGAACTGTTTACATGTTTATTTTCAAAGTAAAAGCCCCACTGATAAATCGACCCCGTTCCGTTATGTAAATCAGTCAGTGTTTGTTTTATTTTGAAAGCCATATTCCGGAAACATTAGCAATATTCAAGCTAGTTTGAWAGCTCCTCCGTCATCGAAGCGTTTAATGTTTCCCAAACGACAGAAACTTCACCGAAGATCCTCTGAGTTTTGTTTTAAGACTTCCGGACTAAACGTAACTTCGGTTGTCATGTGAAAACTTTAATTTTTAAACGTCACAGCTCGGTTCGGGATAAAAAGTTTGGACCTGTTGAGAGTTAATTTTAACCTAAAAGCTGTAAACGATGCATATGCTGGCGTCAAACGGATCCATAATGGACCTGGAGTCGGAGTGGGTGAAAATTAAAGCGCACTACAGAGGGTAGGTGACTCTCCGCTGGGATGTAGCCGGGAAAAGACGGGGTTTATCTGGGCTGGAGGTGGCGGGAGGGAGGGGAGGAGGGAAGGTGGTGTTCTGGGTCGGTTTGTACCCCCTTGTCATCCCGGTCAGGTGAGGTCAGAGTGACTCACCTGGCTCCACCTGACCAGCTGTAAAGTGTAAAAATATGTTGTGATGTGTGTGATCAACTGTAAACCCAGAGGTCAGGTGACTTCAACCCTGCTGCTGTCTCAAGGATCATTTTGACCCAAGGACAGCAGCAGGGTTGAAGTGACACCATGTTGTGTAAAAACATCTAATTATATTTTAATGAGAACAAACAGTTCTGAATGACTTCCTTCTAGTTTGTTGAACAGTGAAATGTTTACTAAAAATTTAAAGAAACAGTTGCTAAAAGCTTAAAACTGTAAAACCAAAACTAAAATCAGCAAAACGGCAACTATAAGTTTAAATAAGCTACTGTTGCTAACAAGTACACAAAACAGTGGCTAAAGTTAAAATTAGCAAAACATCTAAAAGGTAAAATTTACAAAACATTAGGTAAAAGGTCAAATAAGTTCAAAAAATTACCTAAAAGTTAAAATATCAAAACAGGTAAAAGGTAAAATTAGCAAAATGGCAACTATATATTTTAAATAAGCTACGGTTGTTAACAAGTACACAAAACAGCTAAAGGTAAAATAA